TGATAAGACAAGAAAATGAAGAATGTACGCTAATCATTCCCTATAAAAGGGAGGATAAGAGTCTTGAAAAGGGGGAGGATTCTAAATACATGATATTTCAAATATCTCATTTGACAAAAACAAAGGAAAACACTTGTAATTTACTTTTGTAATTGACAAGTCATTATCAGCAAAAATCCTCATTCACATTCTAAATTGGCTTGAATTTTGTACATACAATTTTCAACGTCAACAGTTTGACGCTGGTGGAAGGGCCCCTACCTTGTAAAAGCAGTCCTAACTCTCCATAAAACCCACAAAAATATCATCATGGATGATCTTTCGTCATCTGAAATTCAATCCCACACTCGTCCTGAACAAACCAACAACCAACAAATATTGGAAGAGGACGAGGTCAAAACGAAGCTGCAACCCTCAAATGACCATGGTGAGGGAAGCCATTGAAAAGTTGACAAATGTAGTCAACAGATTGGAACGAAATCAAACTCATGTTCTTCCGTTCGAAACCGAGGTAGAATCCCCATATAGGGAGAAAATCGGATGACCTCCCACCAGAAAAGCTCTCCATTTTTCAGGAAAGGAATCTTCCAAAAGCTGAACTGAAGAGATCATGAGTTCTCTGTAAACGGCAAAACCGACAGAAACTGAAATGAGTGCCTTAAATAATTGTGTTGCCGATTGGAAGCAAAAAAAAAAGGAAGCACTGAGGAATATCTCACTACGTCATTCCCCTTTCATTGAAGACATTCTTGCTAAACATTTGTCTAATAAATTTCCTATCAATGAAATCATTCAAGCCTTGCTCATCAACAAGCCGACCTTGTTCATCAGTAAGCCGAGCTGAGGTTGCATGTGCTGCAACACTTAAACAAATTTTCTGTCAAGGAAATCATTTAGACCTTACTCAAAAGCAAGCCAAGCTGAGGTTGCGTGTGCTGCAACACTCAGACAAATTTCCTATCAAGGAAATCATTCAAGCCTTGCTCATCAGCAAGCCGACCTTGTTCATAAGCAAGCGGAGCTGAGGTTGCATGTGCTGCAACACTCAGACAAATTTCATATCAAGGAAATCATTCAAGCATTGCTCATCAACAAGTCGAGCTGAGGTTGCATGTGTTGCAACACTCAGACAAATTTTCTATCATCCAAGCCTTGCTCAACAGGAAGCCGACGTTGCTCATAAGCAGGCTGAGCTAAGGTTGTAAGTGCTGCAACACTTAGTGCGAATTCCTATAAAGGAATCCTTAAAAGCCCTGCTCACAAAGCAGGCCGAGCTAAAGTTGTAAGTGCTGCAATATTTAGTGCGAATTCCTATAAAGGAATCCCTAAAACCCTGCTCACAAAGTAGGCCAAGCTAAGGTTACAAGTGCTGTAACACTTAGTGCGAATTCCTGTAAAGGAATCCTTAAAAGCCCTGCTCATCAGCAAGCCGTGCTAAGGTTGCATATGCTGTAACTCTTAAATAATTTAATATATTACAAGGTGCATGATAGCTCATTTGCAGGTCAAAACGTGACACGTGTTTAAGAAATTTATTACTGTAATAATTGTAAAAAATGGAAAAAAGAGCCAACCATGTTTAAAGGTCAGTCCGTCACCAAGGCGAGTATCGACCTGTGGAGTCACTGTTGATATCCGACCACACCAGGCAAGCTTCGACCTGAGGGGTAACTGTTGATATCCGACCTCACCAAGGCGAGCTCCGACCTGTGGGATAACTGTTGATATCCGACCTCACAAGGCGAGCTCCAACCTGGGGATAATCCGACCTCATTAAATACAGTTGGTTACATGCATTAAACTCATACTAATATGAGTTCGGATATGTGAGGTCAGCTCGGTTTATGTAGTTTATCGAGGCTCAAGGTGACATAATGATTGAAAATTTCTTACACATTGTCAAACGTCTAATCAATCAATTACATTTGGATAGGCTCATGACAGCACCTCCTAATTCCACCAATCATATGCCTTAGCTTCCTTCCCTAAGTAATTCATTAATTATTGGGGACCACATGTAAGATAAACTCTTGATGACCTGACAAGTCGAGCTCATTAAACCAATCCAAACATGCCATGATGTACTTTTTCAGCTCGGTACTATAGCTGATAAGACAAGAAAATGAAGAATGCATGCTAATCATTCCATATAAAAGGGAGGATAATAGTCTTGAAAAGGGAGATGATTCTAAACACATGTAATTTCAAATATCTCATTTGACAAAAACAAAGGAAAACACTTGTAGTTTACTCTTTTAATTTACAGGTCATTATCAGTAAAAATCTTCATTCACATTCTAAGTTGGCTTGAATTCTGTACATACAATTTTCGAAGTCAACAATATCTGAATTGTGAATTAAATCTTCAAAATGATCGAAAAACCTCTTTAAATGGAGAGATGCAAAGTTTTCTGATAGAAAATGTAAAATAAAACTGTTAATATACATATACATACATATATATA